AAAAATTTTAGGAAGACAGCAGTAGTCCTTATGTCACTGTTCCTACTGCTCCCAAGAGTTTCTGGAGCAGAGGATTTTTACAAAAAGGGTTGTGTGTGTGTGTGCAAGCAGGGGAAGCTGGTGCTGTGATTTCACAGTAGGCTTAGCCAGAGGTATGCTTGGGAGCAAGATCTCTCATGAAGATTGGTGTCCCAACTTGTATTTGTCCATCTTTGGTTTTATTTAGAAATTTATGTGAAAGTTTTTGGGTTGTTGTTTGGGGGATTTTTTCATAGAAAGAGGGTTTTTTGCTGGAGCTTGACTGACTCTTGAGTCCTGTCCCCTGTGCTGCCAAGTCTGATATGTGAGCAGAAGGGAGGAGCAAGGATAGATGCTTTTGTCCTGGCTCAGCCTCAGCACATTCCCTCACGGTGTGAACTGGGATTCCTTTAGGCAGAAGAGCATTAAAGCTGTTTAGAATAAAACACAAGGCCCTTTCCCTGTCTCAGTTGGGGATTTGTGTCTTGCAGTCAGTATTTCATTAGCATGTTCCATAGCAGATGCTGATGAGGGACACAAGGTGCCTAATGTCCTGTTACATCTCTCTGCCTGCTCTTTCTGTCTGACAGTCCCAATCTTTATTTTCTACTATCCTCTTCCCAGAATAGATGGCAAGCAAAGGGCATTGTAATAACTAAATCTTGTTAACTCCAACAGGAGTCTTCTGCATTAATGACTTTACTATGAGAGTGGGAAGAACATCCCCCTGGTGTTAATCAGAACAATCCTCAATCCTCACTGCAGACTGATGTGTGCAGCTGGTGTTTCTAATTAATTTTTAATTATGAAATCTGATGAAGGGCATCTGACAGTGTGCTGGCAAAGGGCGTTTACACACTGACAGAGCCCTCTCTAGAGCCCTGTGTGTGGTGAGCATTACTTACAGTGAATGAGTCTCTGACAGGTGGGGCACATGGCTTCCCTGGCCATGGTGGCATTGTCACCTGAGCAAAGGAATGTACCCAGACAAAAACACTTTCTGCAGCTCTCTTCAGACATTCTCTAGTTGAGCCACTCTTTTCTGCTCCTTAAAGGAATTTCAGTTTATATGGAAGAAGGAATTTCATTGTCTGTGCCACCTGAGCTGGTTGAATAAGGCAAACCCCAGGCTGCAGCCTGCCTTCATTTCAGTGCAGGACTTGGGAATGCCTGTGGGTGTTTCCTGCACCCTGCTATCCAGGCAAAGGATACCTGAGCTGGGAGGGGGCTCCTGCCTCCTTTGGCAGATCTGGGGGCTCCAGACCCCTGGAGGAGCAGGATTGGGACACACCAAGGGTCTGTGCTGCAGTGCAGGCACAGACAGAACACTGGACTATGTACAGCAGTCTCTTGGCTCTTCTCATGAGCCTGCACCCTACTCTTCAGCTCTTTCCCATGTCATTCCATCGCAGCTGACCTCCTCCAAGCATCCCCAGTCCTACAATTCAGTTGGTGCTCTTCTCATCCCAGACCTTCCTCCCCATCCACACCATACCATCACCTGAGCTTCCCCTGTAAGACTCTTGTCTCTGCCCTGTAGTCCCTGCCCTCCCTTCTGTGGGCTGGCATGTTCTCTTTCCTTCCTACTCTATTTTGCCAGTCTTGGCAAAACTGCTCAGTTATATCCCAGTGAGCATCCTGAACCAGTAGGCTGGTTCCTTTGCCTCTGGTTCAAAGGTAGCTGTGGTCGTAGAGCTTATTGAGAGATGTTTTGAACTACTTGCCCAAAAAAGCTTCTTCTCTTTGTTACATCCTTACCTAGCTAAATCCCTTTTGAAAGTAGGACAATAGGCTCCTAAATCACTGAGAGATTATTTGGAAATGTTAAGTTAGGAGTTAGTGGTTAAATGAATCTGTCCTTAGATCCTTAAGAGGATTTGCCTTTCAAGTCTATTTTGCAAGTCAGGGAGGAAAAGTGACCTGAAGATCACTGACTGATAATGGTGTAAAGCTGAGGTAAAATGGAGTGAGCATCCAAGCCTAAATACATTTCCTTTAAGCACCTGGCTTTGCACTAAAGAGAATAACAAGCAGAAATAACATGGATTAAAAAAAAATGCAGATTCTTAATCTCTGAGGAAACTACAAGCAATATCAGGGGGAAAAAAACCCCATATTAAATTATATTATCTGAATATTCTGCAAATGTATTTAAATTTAAGCCATGGTCACCAGGTAGTCTGGTGGTGTGCATTGGAATATTCATCTCTAAATACCCATCTTCCATTGCTGAATGTGAGATAAAATCACAGAATTATGGTCTTTCATCTGGGTTGGACTGCCCTGATACTACAAGCATTCTATTGGCAGATCATCCTGACAAGCCTGATTTTGAACTTTAGTTTTACCCCAGAGTCCTCAGTGAATTTCAGTGGAACCAATTGTGTGCTTGTAAATTAACAACAAATAATATAAGTGTTGGCCAGCTTGGAACCGAAGAGTTTCCCATAAGGAATGGAATTGGTGCATGTAAAGGCATTCGAACCAGAGTTCATAACAAGGAAAAGCTATTTTACATCTGCTTCATACAAAGCTGCAAGAGTCCTACAATGCAAAGGTGCGGCAAATCAAGTTGACTGGGTTTTCCTGTGTTTCATTAAACCAGACTACTCAGTTACTTTCAAGAGCAGCAAGGAAACACTCTAAGATCCCATGGCAGAGGATGTCTGATGCCTCCAGCTGTGTGACACAAGCTGTGATGTGTCACTAGTTGGTAGCTCTGAGTTTACCTCCATGGATGACTCTTCCCATCATTATTTGGGAAGTGCCATTGTCACTTGCAGTTCACACACTGTTTTACTGCCTGGAAATGTGACCCGCACTGCACAGCTTACGTCTCTAGGGGATCTGTGCCAGCCTGTGAATGTCATGTCTGGGACCCTGTGTGCTCAACACAACCTCATATCCTTCCAGTGGAGTAAATACTCATCTACACTATTGTAAAAGTGAGAAGAATGGGTTCACTCATCCATCTAAGGGCTGAAAATTTTAGGAAAATGTGGTAATTGCAGTCAGCCTGGAAACACCATGATACAAACTTTTCTATTGCATTTATAAAGCAAGTTTCCAGTTTATCAGTGGAAATGGCTCAATGTCTCTGGGTTTGAAACTAGATTCATCTGGCAGACTTTAGGTCTACTGTTTTGCACCAAGTGCTGAGATAACTGTAAAAGTGGTAGCTTTTTCCCAAATTCAGGTTTGGTCAGAGTTCTGAACAAAGCTTTGGATTGCTTTGACACAGACCAGGTTAATGGAAGAGGTCTAAGCAGTGAGTCCTTCCTGGTCCCTCTCCTTCAGGCTGGAAAGAATTTGGACCTGCTTGTGATAATCAGCCTCACCTTGGGGCTGGCAGCTTTGGCAGAGATCTGAAGAGCAGCTAGGACAAGTTGTTCTAATCCCTTAAACAAGCATTGTGGATTTCTCTCTCGGGGTTCCTAGGTCAGGATGACCCCAAGAGAGATCGAAAAGAGTCTTTGCTTCCCTAACCCGAACGGAACCATGAAGGAGCCTGGAATGCGCCTGATTGCGCTTTCAAGGTGGTTTATTTCTTCTTATCTAAACATTCTTTCTCTGACCTGCCCAACTCTGGCTAGCAAGGAGGCCATGGCCATCTGCCCTCAAGCCCTGAGTGGCTCCTACATTATATACTCAAAACTATGTGAGTTTGTTTACAATTTTTTTACCAATTCCCTTCAGCTATGTTAGACTGTGAGTCTCTATCTTAAACCAAAAGAAAAGTGCCACCATGACACCAAGACATGGAGGACAAGATAAAGAAGAAGAAGGTTAGGACATACCCAAATTCATCCATCTTGTATCCCCTTGAACCCCATTCGAAAAATCCCAAAATTCTACTTTTCCACCCTGTGTTAGTTCAAATATCACACTAGTAAAACCCTTGTGACTTGTAATTCCTCATCCACAGTTGGCAGTTTTCCACGGGCTAAAACTGAAGCCAGTGATGTTTTTGACTTCATGCTGGGGTCTCAGAGACCCCTGCCAGGGTCTAGAGACAGCCAGAGCAGCCAGAGGGATGTTCTGGACTCTGACAAGCATGGCTGGCTGCAGCTGCATGAGGCTGTGTGTACACAGCCTGAGGGCTGCACTCAGCAAGTGTCCAGATCTGTAGATGGCACCATTGCTGTACATCTAGCTGGACTCTTCAGATGACTAAATAAAGTCAGAAAAAAGGTTTAAAGTTACTCCTGCCATCCACAGGTAAGGTGTAAGTAATGTCTACTCCTGCAGACACCTTGGGAAGCTCCTTGGGAGGTGCTTGTTAGGGGGCAGAAGATGTCAAATGAGGAGAAAATTCCCCTAAGGTTTGTAACTATCACCAAGAGGTCAGGGGCAGCCAAAAGAACAGCCAGAGAGTGATGCTACAGACATGAGCTGCTCTGGCCAGACCCTGGGAGAGTCAAGAGGGAGCCCATTTCTCTCTGGGCTTTTTTTTCTTTTGGTTTTTTATTTGTCTCATACTACATAGGAAAGCTCAAAATAATACTTCTTCCTCAAAGCAGTAGGTCCCAGGTTCCTTCTCTGCCCAGCTGGGCATACCCTTCCTCTTAAAACTCCACTGCAAATGTCTGTCAGACCTGAAATCTCAACTTGTTCATAAGTGATTCACCCAGAAATTGCTCCATGGTAGGAATATCCTGATTTTTTGTTACAACTATTTGTACTGCCCATGCCCTTCCCTTCCTGGCTTTCTCAGCTCAGGTTGCCTCTGTCCTGCAAAAGTACAAAAATTACACCCTCAACAAGGGTAACAATGATGTAGGAAGAAACCTAATTTTAGGCTTCTCATCCTGCAATGAGCTCAAGGTTTACTCTGTAGAGTAAGTCTATGCAAACACTCATATTTTGACAACAGCAAGACAAAAGGTTTTGACAACAGCACGACAAAAGAATTCAAATTCCCCTGTCATCAGCTCTCAAACAAGGTATTTCTTTCTTTCCTTCTATTTTCCCAACTCTGAAAGGAGTGAGCTTGCTAAGAAGATACAGACCCTGCTGCCTGCAGTGGAACTGGGCTGCAAGTTAGGTGAGAATGGCCTGAAGCAATCTGCACGACTTCATCTTGCATTTCTATCCAGGGATGTGGGGTAAAGTCTCCTTTCATGTTACTGTGGTGAGATTAGAGGGGATGCAAGGTGCTAATTAACAGCCACTTTAAATAATTTTGACATTTTTACTTTACAAGGCAATGATATTGAAGCTCCTGGGTCCAATACTTCTCATTAGTATGAAAATCAGATCAAAATGGACATCTATTTCTTCTCTGCTGGCAGATGGTATAACGGGCTGGGAGCTTAGCTGACATGCATGCATAAATGCCATACAAAACAAATTTTGTTTGGAAGTGGGTTCAGGCTGTTACATGCAGGAGATTTTTCAGAGTTGTCCTAAAACAGATTGCCCCAGTTTCACTGAGAGTGGGATGTCAAAGCACCTGGGAGGAAAGTCTGGTCCATCCATGTTATGTGTAAATGCAGTAATTGGCAGTTTGTTTGGGAGTTGAAGGCAATTCTTGGTATCCATGAAGGGAGTGGTTATGTAGTATTTCTTATTTTCAAAACAATTACTCATCCTCTCTACACACACAATTTGTAATGTGTGTTGTATTGTTTACAGCTCATCACTCAAAAGGGAGCAACTCCCTTAGGGATGGAAGCAGAGGGGGAAGGTAAGAGGAGAACACTGTAAATAACTGGGTATTTTCCCATTCTCAGTGTCCGGAAGGCTAATCCTGAGCTACCTGGGGTACTTGGGGTAGGGATCCCATGACGTAAGGGGGATTTTTGCTGCAGCAAAGAAAACAGAGCTTAGATATTTCCTTTAGTGTAAATAAATATGTGGGGGAACTTCCAGAATAAGCAGAAGCAGCAGGCATTGTGGAGCTGGGCAATTTTGTCTGTTAGGAAGATAATATCTAAATGGTCTAATTATAGCTCCAGTTCAGCATACTCAGGGAATCCCCACCATTACTCTTCAGTAGCTGCTGCTGTAAATTTACAGGACCTGCTTGATAATTTATGTTTACTACAAGCCTGTCAAACTACAAATTTTTCTGTGGGAACCCCGACCTTATTCTGGGTTCCCATGTGGTGGTGAAATTCCTCCTCCAACCCGTGCTTCCAAAGAAAAACTCCGCAGTCTCTTGTTGTTCCGTCTCAAGATGATTTATTGCTAGTTATCTAACAGATTATGTTCTTGGGCTGCAGCTTCTTGGTCAGCGGCCTGGGCAGAGGCACACACACACCCTGACATCCTCTCTGTCTGCTGTCTTCTTTTTCTCTCCCCATACCCAGGGCTGCTGCTATCTTTTATATGATATATTACGTATTACATGTTTATAGTTTTCCCCCAATACCTACTACCTATATTAAAAAGTGCTTTTCTACTCTAAACCAATCTGTGAGTGCCAACATCACCAAGAACATGGAGGTAAGGAAAAAGAAGGAGGAAGAACAGGATCAGCCCACTTTCCTCCATCTTAGAACTTCTGACCCCCATGTACAAAGTAAAAACCCCCCTGTACAAGTGCTAAAACCCCCCTGTACAATACTAAAAAAAAATTCCCCTCTGTTTTGTAACTACTTTTACTATACTATCTAACCTTTTGTGACTGCTTGTTCCACCTCCAAAGTTGGTAACTCAAACTCAAAACCACAGCTGTTTTTGAGCTGTCTGCCAGGGTCTAAAATGCTTCTGACCAAGGCTTGGAACCTCTAAAAATGTCTGAGAGACATTTTGAGTTCCCACATTTTTTTGTTATTGAAAAAAATCCTCCTTTGCTGACCCATCCCTTCTCTGTCCTGTATTGAGAACAGTCTGCATTAGATGCTGACTGAAGCTCAGTTTCCATGAGCACACCTGTGGCCTCAGGAATCACGGAAGGACCACAGAAATACTGATGATGCTGTGCCACCACTTGACACACAGAAAGCCTTGAGAGATCCCCAGGGCACTCGGACCTTTAGGCCATGTGTATGGCAACCAATTCAATGCCTCCACTGAGCTTTTCTTGCCTTCCTCAACTCCTCTTCCAAGGGTGGATCACTTCAGTGGTGATGCCTGAGAGCTTCCAAAGCAGAATAAGCCACCTTCAAATTCTTTGACTCAGTTGATGGAGGACTCCCTGCCCTTAATTTACTCCCAATATTCTTCTCTCCCTCTCTCCCCCAGTAGAACATTTTGGTAAGGCACTAGTTCTCAGACCAATTATCTGCGTTCAGGTTTCAGTGACACATAGCACTGTACTTTGCCCCTGTTATCACCTACTTCTAGAACAGGAGACTGAAACTTGAATGAGATGAAGGGAGATAACAGGGCTGGTATACAGCTCAGTATGAACTGGTTGATATGGAGTCATTATTCATACTGGGAATTTCCACTGGAAGAGTCACTGAGGTCCTGTTGCTTGAAGGGTCACATGACAGGGACTCCTCTGCTTGTCTACCTTCCAAAGTTGCCCTAATGCAGCTGCAGTGGACAGGAGAAGCACAAATCTCTTGTGTAGGCAAGAGGAAGGAAGGCATAGTTAGAAGATCATTGGATCTGGAGAGTTACTGGGTGATCCTGGACAAGTCACTTGGACATCTGAGTTTCTGTTCCCCATGAATTAATGGATAAACAGGACTGCCCTGCCTCACAGGAGTGTTTTCAGGATAAATATAGCGGAGATGTGTGGGTGACACAGCATATTTATCCTGATAACATCATTAGAAAGGCCTAAAATCCACACAAATCCTGAGTGCATTACAGAGTTTGACAGCTTTCTTGTATGAATTCTAAATGACCTACCAAACATCACTTACTTAAACCCCTTCAATAAGTCTCTTTGGTGTATAGATTGTGGGATTTTTTTGGTTGCCATTGTTGTTGTTATTGTTGGTTGTTGGGGTTTTTTTTGCTTACACATTTGAGGAGAGGGGAAACAGCCCAGTTAGAAGCTGAGGGTGCAGTTGCACTGTCTGTGTCATTGATGGAATTATTGAAGAGCACCTGTCTTGAGCCAGAGCCCTGAGAGGCACCACTTGCCACCAGTGTCCACCTGTACATAGAGCCCTTGACCACAGGTCTCTGGCTGTGTCCCTCCAGCCAATCCCTTATCCACTGAATGATCCAACCTTCAAATCTATGTCTCTCCAGTTTGGAGATCCAGGATGCCATGTGGGACTGTGTCACAGGCCGTAGTAAGCCTTAGGCCTAAGGAGAAGTCCACTGAGATTACACCAGTTGGACTTCCCTTGAGCAGTGCAGGCACACCTTGCCCTTACTGTTGTTCTGCCCCATGACTTCCCAGGCACAGAGGTCAGGTTCTGTAGCTCCCCAGGTCTTCCTTTCTGCCCTTTCTGAAAATTGCAGTGATGTTTCCCTTTTTCCATTCATAGAATCAACAGAATATTATAAGTTGGAAGGGACTCGCATAGATCATTGAGTCCAACCCCTGGCTCTGCACAGGACACACCAACAATCCCATCCTGTGTCTGAGACCATTGTCCAAACACTTGCTGAACTAAGACAGGGTTGATGCTAAGACCATTTCCTGGGGAGCCTGTTCAGTGTCCCACCAGCCTATGGGGAAAGAACTTCAGTCACCAGGGACTTTGCCTGACTGCCATGCCTTTTCAATGATGGAGAGTGACTTGGATCCAGTATCAGCCAGCTCTTGGGGACCCTGGGATGCATGTCATCAGGCCCCATAGATTTGTGCCTGTCCAATTTCATCAGAGGGTCTTGAGCCTGCTCTTTGCTTACAGTGGAAGATTGCCTGCTCCCAGCTGAGGATATCAGAGCAGGGTCAGCTCAAGCAGCTTGTGCAGAGCTTCATCCCGTTGGGTTTGAATATCTCAAAAGCCTTCTGACTTTTGCAGGGGAAAGTATAAACCTTAACTCTGGAGCAAAACAAAATTAGATCACCTGAGGTACTTATGCCCTATCTTTTAAATTTACATTCAGCACAAGATAATGGTGGGCAAAATAGTTTTGATATCTGACAGAAGACTACTCAGTGAGTGTAGTTTGTTAACTGGCTAGGTAGGATGACAATCCACGGACAGGAAAAATAAATGATAACAAATACATTATAATAAACTATAATAAATAAACTAATATATAAATTATAACTTCATCCTAGACTCAGAGAGGATGGCAGGAGGGAGGGATATTGAAGTGAGAAGCATTGTTTTCTCCCTGGATACCCACCTGGGCAAAGCAGAGCTGATCCTGATGCTTTTCCTCACTGGCAGCTCTCTCCAGGGTTGTAGTTACACAACAGGTCACAAGGAGAAGAAAACCAGTCTTTTTATATCTCCTCACCCATCTGTACTTCCTTTTTTAAAATGAGTACTGCTAACAAATTAACAGAAGTATCATGTTGGCAGTATTTTTAGTAAACAGCAAGAGACTCATGTGAACTTGTTCCTGCTTGTCCTTGTCCCCTCTACAGACAACAGACTGAAGAGTTTTCAGGGCAGAATCTTTTCAAGTTCTTATATTTCTGCCTACCAAAGGGCTGGTCTGTACCAGCAGGCCTAGAGCTGACTGGAGAGGCAAGTGCTCTTCAGGTTTGAAGAATAATTCCACCCCCTTGAATGGTAATGCCAGGTTAGGATATCCAGAGTTCCAGGGATTGCCTTGCTATTGGATCATGAATGGCTCTGTACACAATAGCTGGCAAAAGAAGATGATGGAAATCCACAGGGGAATACAGGAAAAGAAAATAGAAAGTATGTTTATTAATTAGGAATGTTCCCAAGGGTTTCCAAATTGTCCTAAAATAGTCACACACATTCCTAAGGACAGTGCAAATGTGGGTGGCAAGATCCTCCTACTACTGTTTGAGGGGAAATGGGGAGGGAGGTGGAAAATAAACTAGAAAAGGTATTTTCATTTGGTTCCCTGACTTGGCTGAAGCAAGGCCACCACTATTGATGTTTAACCTGCACTGTTCAAGAGCGAATCTGCCAAGAGTTGTGTTCTAAGACTGGTTTGCACTTTGCCACTGCTCTTACCCTCAACACCACAGAAGAGAAGAGTTGACTGGGCCAATTCCTGCCTAGTGCTTCAGGAATACAGACTCCACTGCTCCCTGTAATCTCTCTACTCTGTTTCATAAAATCCCTTTTTTTCACACTTTGAGATGTCACTTCCACAGCACCTCTGGTTTTATAATGGCACCTGCGCACCCAGCCATAAGGTTCCTGATGTGGAGTTTGGCTGCTTGCCCCCACCCCACCTTTATGATGGAAAATTTTATCTTGGTGATCTTAATTTTCCTCCTAATCTTTTCCTTTATGTTCTTCACAATTTTCATTGACACCTACTACTTGGGACAACTTCTTCAGGGCTCTGCCCCATCTTTAATGCCAAAACACTTGTTTTATACAAAGAAATGTAGGCCTTGGGCTGGAGGAATTTATTTGGAGAGGCTGAAGGAGAACATTGTTTGCAGCTCCTTCTAATCTGCTGTTCTCCATCCATCTCCCTTTGAAGTCAAAATTCCTTGATTTTAATGTGAGTCAGGCTACTGCTTAAGAAGCCTCATTATTTCCTCTCCCTTTTGCTCACAGATTTTCAGATGCATCTTCATGTATTTCATCAGGGAAATTCCATGTGTCAGCATGGAATCTGTTGGTTTTATTTTGCAGAGATAGTAGGTGTTCATAAATAATGAACATACTCTGGGCTAAGCTAATTTACTGTAATTTTTGTGTTTCATGTTCCCTTGTTGAATTGTTTTGAATGAAGCAAAACAAATGAAGAAGTAATTACTGAGCATTTCCCCACATTTCCCAAGCTTCCTTTTTGAGTCATTGTTTGTGTGCCCTCTCTGGGAACTTATTTCTGAACTCTTCTGCTTTCTTGCTGACATGGTCTGAAACATTTTGAAATCTGCATAATTTAACCTACACACTTTTCTACTCTGGCCTTGTATTTGGTATCATAATAACTTTAAAAAGGTGATATTGCTTTTTTGCTTTTTGTTTTTGGTGTGGTTTTTTTTTTTTTTCTTTACCCTGCGGTTTATCAATAAACTGATTTTCCATGCCTACATTTCCCCACCAAATCACTTTATGACTTCATGAGTATAGGGGGAGGGATTGATAGGGGTGATTTAATTTAATACATATTTGTGTTCTGTTTGGT